TTCTTATAATTTCTATCCAACCAAACATTTTAAAAAGTAATAACAAGAATCTTATTTGTAATACTTTTACTTTAAGCCCTTTTTTGCAAATATTTAAACGACAAATGCTTTTAACGGAGAATTCATTTCAAATAATCGATGCTTTAGTGATAAGTCTTTAAGTTTTTGTTTCTTTTAGTATTTTTAATGAAAAAATATTTCAATTTAAAATTCAATTCTTTAATTACTTTTCATATTATTAAAGAAATACTGAAAATTACGATATTTAAAAGTAATTAAATTAAATAGCTTTCAGATCATGGATAACAACATAATGTTGAGAATTGATTCAAATGAGAGCTATTGGAAATCAAAGACTCAGCTTTGGCTAAGAATTCTGAGCAGATCTTACAAATTGATATTCGCTGTCACCGTTCCTATCGTTTTATTACCATTGCTTTTCATCGACGATACGGCCGTAAGTTTACATCATTTTCATCTCAATTTAATTTTTTCGTGATTTTATTTTTCATTAATTTTAATTACAATTTTAATATTCATTTTTAATATAAAATCTAAGAAGTATTTCAAAATAAATTAATCATTGAATGTGTTTATGAGAATTCTTCAGTTTATTACTTGCGAGCAAAAAAAAAATAAAAGAGACTTTTATCTGAAATTAACATTTAATTTATAATTGCATTTTAATATAATTATATATATAATAAAAAGCTTATTGTGTTATTATAGTATTTTATTACCCCTATTCAGTCTGAATTCTTTGAGTTCACAATAACGCAGAATTTCATTCAAATAATTTACCTTTTATTTAACACTGACATACAATAATTGTATATTGTGTTGATAAGTACACAGTATATGTGTATATTTATTAAATATGTCATTTGAATGCTTTTTTAATTTGTATAAAATTTCAATTCAACTAAAATTGATTTCATGTTTTGTTAATAAAAATATGCGATTAAAATATGAATTTAATATAACGTTTCAAAAGTAAAGGTATATATAAAGCGAGCTTTTATATATTTCTCGGCAATTCTGTAGTATCACGAGTAATATTAAATTGCCTTGATAAAATATTGCCAGTTTATACGTTGCCTATGAAATGCTAATAAAATGACTTTTTAATACAAATATGCAATTGTAAGTAATTGTCATATAATTGATGTGATGTTTATTTGCACTCGTATTATAATAAACACATAATTATAAGTTATTTCAAAGTTCATTGAAAATCACATTAAATGCATAAAACACACAATAAATGAATGTCAATAGTATTGGCAAATCTTGTGATTTATTTGTCAAGACGTGAGAAATTTTAAAATTTTATAGAATCTACAAATCTTTCGGTATATATCTTAAGATATTAAAAAATAATGTTTTGCTAAAAATTAATGATGTGTTGAACAAGTTTTTATGCACTTTATGTAAATTTAATGCCATAAAAATATGGTAAAATTGTAAAAGATGTACGTGTATACCAAACGGTGTAGAATTAATTATTTTAATACACAATAATTATTTATAATAATAGATAAACATATAATTTAGTTTTATATGAAAAATGTTTATCAAATACTTTAATACAATAATAATATTGTAAATTATTATCAATTAATTATTGGATTTTGTAGTCAAAGAGATTATATGTTTTACTAAACACAAAATATAGTACAAAAACTGTTTAATAAATATAGAAAATGTCGGTAAATGTGATGATCACTGATGGCACTAATTTATGGATTAATATACACCCAAATCCTTCATGTGATTAGAAGATTTACAAAGAGTTTATATTAACTTAAATGACATTTTAGACTTGAAATAAACTTTTAACATAGAAAATAATTCATTAAACATTATACATGTACCATATTGTAATATAAACATTTTTGAGTTCTCTCTCTCTCTCTCTCTCTCTCTCTCTCTCCTCAATGATGAAAAATTAACCCAATTTCATTAAACTTGCGGTCACTTATGTTCCAGTGTTATTTCAATGTCAATGTAGACAATCTATGGCTAAACTAACAGAGATTTGATTGTGTATTTAGTTTACTGACCACTACTTTACTTTATTCATAAAATAAGCTCATTGAGAGGCACAAGAATTTAGGCTAATCTGAATATTTGCTCAATTTATATGATGTACAGAATATATTTGAAGAATTTATAAATGATGTATTTAGATTAATATAGAAAGTACAACATTGAAATCACAATTAACTAAACGCATAATAAATTGTATTAATAGAGATTCCGTTGCGCTTATGTAGTGCTTTTGATGGCACTGTATTGGATGGTCGAACCCATCAGTCTATACGCCACTGCATTAATGCCGGTCGCTCTCTACCCATTACTTAATGTTATCAGGTTTTCATCACTAATTCATCACAATTTAGTTTAATATTTAAAAAAACATTTTTATTAACAGCACATCTCAAGTTTGCTCCCCATATATGAAGGCTAGTATTCATTACAGAATAATATTTATTTTATATAAAAATTAGTAAAAATACAAACAATAACTTAAGATTAGAAATATTATTAAAAACAAATTAATGTTATAATTATATAAATTACATAAAACAGGCGACAAATATGATGTTTGTCGGGGGACTACTGATGGCAATAGCCATAGAACACAGTAATCTTCATAAAAGGATTGCATTAAAAACACTTCTTCTCGTCGGCACGAGTGTTAACAGGTATTCAATTGCTAATAGACTTTGAATATAGATAATTTAAATTGCTAAAATAACCATCATTATTGTCACAGAATAATGTTTGGCATAATGATGGTCACAATGTTCCTCTCCATGTGGATCAGTAAGTCATGACTGAAATTATATTTCACAGAAACCCTTATGTTATAGAATTGAAACATATTGATACAATGATATTAACAGGTAATACGGCCACCACTGCAATGATGGTACCAATTGTTGAAGCAATGCTTAAAGAATTAGGTTAGTCTACTGTTAATGTATTTGTTATAATAATTATTATTACTGTTTTACAAATTAATAATATTTCGCAAATATTGATGAATTTGTCAAAAATAATTCATAAGATATCTTGAAGGATATCTTTATCTGAATGATAAATGTTTCATTTTTGTCTGTCTGTCCTTCAAATATATTTATAGTCTAAAATCAATTTTAAAAATGTGTTGAAATATCAGATGAATCGCCTGAAGTACAGCCAAAGAATACAAATCATGACAAACAAAAAACAGCGACAATAAGAAAAGCATTATTGCTTTCGATCGCATACTCAGCTAATATTGGC